TTTCAATTTCCCTTTCTTCCAGTTGGGTACTCCTTACTGAGTCCTCAAACTGGCAGTGATTTCTCCCATCTCTAAACTCCTGTGGCCCTTTGCCGTACAAAGAGGTGGTCTTGCTTAGTGTTTAGAAATGCAGATGGCCTGGGCTGAGATCTTGGCCTTTCCCCTGGATATGTGATCTTGGGCAGATTACTTAATCCTCTGGGCTTCAGTCTTCTCCTCTGTTAAAGGGGATATATCGGTCAAGGATTCTGTTGCAGAGAACGGAATTTACCCTTGCTAGTAGAAGCAGACACTATTACGTTATAGGGTATTAACTCACAGAACGTTGGAATCGCCAGTGAAAAAAAACTCTAGTTTGAGCTTTCTGAAAACTCCCATGCTACTCTGCAGCAACAGATTCACAAGAGCTGCTGCCTCTTTCACAACCAGGAAGTCACCTGCTGAATGGAAATGTAAAGGCGGCAAGAACCATACCCCCTATCTGATCCAGCTAGGCAACTGCATGCCCCAAGCCCGTCTCTTGACACCCACAAAAGTAATGACTGGCTAGCATGGCTGCAGACAAATCACATTGCTCTGTGGCCATTTTTACAGGTATGGGGAGCAAAATGTGGTCTCTGCCTCACTTCTGCCTTCCAGATATTATAGGAGTGCTTCTGAGAGGCCAAATCTAAATTAATTCTAGCACCTTAGCTGCAAAGGAGTCTGAGAACTATAGTTTCTAGGTTTCTGATCTCTGTGTTTCAGGAAGGCACTGGTTGGGATGAATGTTGATAGCGGGTCCACCATAAATAACATCCATATGAGGATAATAAGTATACCTACTCTATAGGATTGTTGTGAGAATTAAATGAAATAATACATATAAAGTACTTAGAACAGTGCCTAGTACATGAGAGACTCCGTTAACGTAGCTATTTTCATCAACTTCTCAGAGTTTTACAGGGGAAAGTCAAACTGCCTTAGATTAAGCTTCAGTTTTTCATCTGCTACTAAATAACTTTGATGAACCCACTTATCGTAACAGAGCAGTAGTTTCCTCATCTGTAAATTGAGAATACTAATTACTCTCTGCCTTATAGAGTTTCTGCTAATATCACATTAGGTCATGTGTGAAAGATGATTTGAAAATTGTAGCAAACACTCCAGTTAATTGAGAGTCGAATGGATATTTGGTGAATTGGAGAACTACAGACTCCTGCTCAAATTCCAGCTCTGTCCCTGACACCAGCAGTCGGCTTCCTGTAGTTTTATCTTGTTCATCCTCACACCATTTTTTCCCTCTTCTTAATTTTCAGAATTAGCCAGGGAAATCAAACAACTTCCACACATGCCCATGAGGCTAGTAAGGCTCAGGAACTGCCATAATCACCTCCTTCGAGAGGGGAGAAGAAGCCCTACCCAGCTCTTCAACCCTGCCCACCCCTGGGTTCTTTCCAGAAGACCCTCTGCCCTCTCTACCCCAGTTACTGCCACTGGAGGGCCAAGTGAGAAGGCCCAAGGAAGGCTCAGGAAGGGACAGGTGGCTCCAGCGTGAACACTGTAACGTACTCTCCCCAGGGAAAGAAATTCCGAGAGTTTAGCTCCCTCTTTCCTGCCATAAAGCACGCTGAATGTTAACAGCTTGCTCCTGTCCAAGCTGGTGTTTTTTAAATTAAGTATTGTTAAATCCATACCATTTGGAATGATGCTTCAGACAGCCCTGACACTCTTGCTTCTGCTTTCATTTCACCTAATATATTGTGCAGGGAGCTGATAACCAGTATTACAGCAGCCGGGAGCATCCCCTACCCACCTTTCATAGCATTTACACAGTGAACTGTGTCTTCTTGCTGCTGCTGCCGCTGCTGCCGCCGCTGCCGCCGCTGCTGCTCCTCAGACGCTGGCAGATGGCTTTAATTTAGATACCTGAAGAGGAAAAAAGGAACTCAGCCAACGCCCTGCTCAGATGCCATAAGAGGCCTTTCCCAGGCTGCCGTTAGTATGGGTCTACATTACCTAGGGTTTTATGTTCTTTTTCCTTGGCACTGAAAAAGGCTTTAGAAATGACAAAGATGGGAGACAGAGAAGCTGTAGACTATAATAAGTTCTTTCCATTGTCAAGTAACATATATACCCTTAGTAAAACCTGGGTAGCCTGCCTTCTCCCGTGCCTTCACTATAAGTATCCCTCTCTAAGCAGTATCACACCACCGCCAACATCTGAAAATGAGTATGTGTGCACACACATGTATACATAGAAATACATGTATGTTTGCACGTATATATATGTGCTATGACAGTGATTCAGAGTCAGGAGACTCCAATCATAGGCCAGTTCTAGCCAGTGGGGCCTGAGGCAAATCACTTTACTGCTCTGAGCCTCAGTTTCCACATATATAAAATGGGGCGAGTACTTAACCAACTTCACAGAGTAGTCATAAAGGTCAAATAAGATGTGGGTATAAAGTCATTTTATAAACTTGAAAGCTATAACATAAACTTTAATATAACATTATCAAAATTGGCTCATCCCAAAAATTTACCTCAGTCACCTTACCACAACTTGATTTTGCTCTCCTTTTGTCGAAGTTACAGTAAGCTTAGGGTTTGCCCTGCAGTATATAGTGCTTGACTATGCAACTGCTTTTCCTCATTTCTCTGGGCATCCAGAGAAAGAAAAGGAGATATTACAAGCATAGTGACCAAAAGCATGAGACATTGTGTGGGCACCCTGCAGGTATTCAACAAATGACAGAGAATTTGATTTTAAAATGTTGTAATGTTCAGCTACTTTACTGAGGTGACCACCTTGCTATACTTTGACGTTTATCAAAACTCCAAGGCAGAAATCTCTGACTCACGTTATCTAGACAGTATTTATTTCTGAAGCAGGAAGGAATCTAGACTAGCATACAAGTGGCTACCAATTATTTTCTTACCATATCAATTTTTCCTATTCTATAAATGGTATTGAACCATTACCATTGTTGCTATTATTCCTTCTCCCACCATCTGTTCTTCCATTTTGATCTGCCTAACGAGTGATGTTTATATGTGAAGAGGGAGGAAGTGGTCCTAAATAAAGTATTCCATGTTATAGAACTAGTTGGAACTCCTTAGCTAATGACTCTGATGGAAGAAAAAAGCCCCATAGCAGAAAGCTCCAATGTGTAAAAGGGAGATCTATAACATAGTTTTATAAATGAAAGTTTATTTCAATCAATCCATTTTTTTAATGTGATGAAGATTTCAGATAACACCAGTCAAGTATTTTTACAGCAACTCGTGAATACTCTTTAGCTTATGAGCATGAGCTAGTTTTGGAGAGAGATACAAAAGAAATCTTTCTGAAAGAGAAAAGTGTACCCAAGAATAGGGCCTCTTTGTTATGGATCTGTACTACCCCTTTTCCTAGGTGAGGAAAAAGGTGGATTCTTGTACGCCCTTGCCTTTCCTAGTGGGTTAAAAATGGGAATTTTAAAGCTCTTCTGTTTTTAATTGATATACCATATGAAGTAAGTAACCTGAAGTTGAACAACCTGCTTTTCTTCACCTTTTTGAAAAGCAACACTGCAGGTATTTATACAGGCAGACCTGCCTGTATTCACATGCCTATTATGGCTTCATCAGGTTTTCCATATTTGTGTATTTCATGCCTCTTGTCAGTATTTTTTTATTAATGAAAGGAAAGAACATTAATTCTAAATGTCTCCTACCTCCACCATATATATTTCTCGGCTATCAGGAGATCTACAAAGGAAAAACTTCCTGGTGACACAGCTATGGAAGTGTAAGGCCAAGTTTGCTATTTCATTCTTTCAAAATCTCAGTGATTTCCTTAGCAGATAAGGAGAAAGACGTCCTTGTTTGACACTTGACACTTTTCTAAAACTGTAATAAAATCCTCCTCTGGTAGAGTCAAATCTTGCTTGCTGGTGAATTAATCAGACTCAGAAGCTTCCCGAGCTTCTCCTGGCTCTGTCATCATTTCACTGCTCATTAGCACTTCCTCCAGAGCTGGACTAGACCTCAAAGGTCATCTCCTCATCCAGCCCTCTTGCAACAGTGGAAAGGAAAAGGTAAAACTCACTTTGGCCTTTTCTGCTGCGTTATAGCAGCTCCGATAAAGGATGTAAAGAAAGAAGAGGCTGAAACTGTCCGTTAAAAGGTTTGGGGATTAACTGAGGATTTAATTCATCCTTTCTTTCCCTCCCGCTGCTAAAGCAGATAGTTGATAGTTGGCAGTTTGTCAAACCAGGCTGTTCCTTAACTCTAAATTTCAGCTCCACTCATCCCCAAGTCTTTGTTAAGGGCTTCTTTTTAAACTAGTGGATCTAAATTTCTAATTGTGCCTTTAGCTTGGTAAACCATGGGTGTTTTAAATTGTCACTTTACAAAGAAGCAATTTTTTTTTTTTTTTAGATCAAGTCATTAATACACTAAGTAACTTATGTCACTCTTTGGATTTAGTGAGGAACATTCAAAAACTTATGTAGTCTCCTTTTTCCAAGTCAAGGGGGAAAATAAAGAAGAACTTTATGGGAGAGGAATAAAGCAATTGTACAGAACACATTTAAAGGGCACACATTAAGTCCGTTTTTGTCTATGATTTTTTCCCTTTATGGCATATGTTATATATTGACAAGGGATTAAGTTTCTCTCCTGAATGGAACAATGCAGAGTCATAGGGAGCTACTGTACTTTACAAAGCAACAGGCACAAGCAAATGGCAAAGAGAAATGTATCTCACAAAGAACTAACCAGGTTAGTTAATAGCACAGGGCTTTGCTTCATCTTTTGCAATTCTGCATCTTTTGCATTTTTCTTCTCGCTGTGCTGTGCGCTCTGCTCTCCTTTCTTTTTCGTCCTTTTCTCCCTCTTTTTTTGCTCACACTGTTACACTTTCTCTGTCCCCCTGGCTTTGTTATTCAGCATGTCTGATTAGCAGGAGCCTGATTGGCTGGCTGCCTGCTCCGAGAGAGATTCCATTCAGCTTACCCCCCACCCATCCACCCACCCACCCACCCCTAGTCAGGAAATGTGAGCGGGGCTGATGGAAGCTGATAGGCAGGGCTGGAGTGTTAGCACCAGTACTGGATGTGACAGCAGGCAGAGGAGCATTTAGCAGCTTATTCAGTGTCCGATTCGGATTCCGGCAAGGATCCAAGCATGGAATGCTGCCGTCGGGCAACTCCTGGCACACCGCTCCTCTTGCTGGCTTTCCTGCTCCTGGTAAATCCCTTTTCCTTTCTATATGTTGCTATTGCCATTTAATCTGCGTGCTGTTGGGGTGCTGTGTCTATGTGTATGTGTCTTTATCTTCAAACAGCAGGTAAAATACATGATTAAAAAAAAAAAAAAGCAAACTTCTTTCAGAACTTTAACCCCAACTTCCCAAGCAAAATAAAGTCTGCAAGACTTTGTGGGATTAGTTAGAGGTATATAATAATATCTAGACATGAATTTTGAAGTAGACTGCCTAGAGTTTGTGAGCTGAGAACTGTATAAATGGTGGTGTGTATGCCTGGGATTTGGGTGACAGGCGTCCTAAAATCAAACTCACTCACTGTGTTGTTCCTGGAATTTTTTAAAGGGTGGGCTGTGAGTGACTTTCCCCCACTGCCATTTATGAATTCCTTTGCCTCTGTGAACATGTGCTGTGGAACCAGGTAAAAGAGGGAATGAGAGCCTCTTTGCAGCCAACTCAGATTATAGCTCATAATTACTGCAAGTCATCTATGGATACAAGTTAATGCTGGTATTTATGAATTGAGGATTTTGGTCTTTGATCTCAGAGCTGCTTTTGAAGAAGAAGAAAATGCTGACTTTCTGTACGGCAGCTTTCCATAGTTACAGTGATAAGATGCTCTGCGCTTGAACATCAGCACACACTGCATTTTTGACTCAAAGTAAATGTTCCATTGTGACTCATACTTGGTTTTATGGGCAGAAAACGAACATTTACTGTCCAAAAAAAATCTACACTCAAAATATTAATAGCAATGCACATTTTTTAAACCAGAGTGTTCTGGGCAGGCAGCTTAGTAAACCTCATCTGAAGGTCTGATTCCAAAATTTGCACACACTGATTCCAAACAAACGTGATTGTAGCTTTCCCTGTCACATTTGTGGCATGCCAGCACTTCCTCAGAAGGTAACAAGGCAAGAAGGGAACAAGGTAAAAATGCAGCAAGTATAGAGGTTACATTGGTTCGTTGATAGTGAAGGAATGTTTTGTTCTGATTAGACTCTGACAAATTTGATCTGCACTATAATTATGAAGAAAGGAAGTAAGCCATTTGGTACAAATTGAAAAACTCCAGGAAGATTCATCAGATAGAGTAATCAGACAGTGATTAACTATTTTATACATTCCCACTTATTTGCATCATTGTGGCCAAGAAATCATAATGCTACATTGCAAATGCTATAAATATAGAAATATATTTTTAAGTTTTCTAGAAATTTAAAGGCAAACTGAATTTTAAGCATGAATGGACTATAAGTTTTAGCTGTTCTGAGGAATATAAAAAAAAGCAGAATGTTTAGGTGTGCTTTATGACTAGTGAAGCAAGCAATTTATGAAAGGTGTCTCATTTTTTTTCCATATGGGATGTGTTACTTATGTACATACCATTAGTTTGCCTCGTCTTTCCTTCTTTGTGATCTTTAAACAGTGTGTTAATTTCCCATTTAATTGCATCATAAAGCAAATTACCAATACAATTACTTTTTTGGTATCTTCTGAATGAAGTATGATCTCATTACACTTTGGAAAAACTTTCCAATTCAGGAATAGATTGTTTTGCTACCCATTTGGTAAATGCATTATATCCCTCTTCGATATCTTGAGTATTCATATATATATTGAGCATATAATGAGATTTATGTGGGGAAAAAAGGAGTCTGCTTATTTCAGATTTAAAACATAAAACATATTTTGTTTAAATTACAAGAATTGTATTATGAAGATAAAATGAAATCAAATCCAGGTTTGTTTCATGCCTGTATTTAAATGAATTTTGAGAGTTATGCTAGAAAAGCAAGAGAAGTAATTGATGAGCACCAAGGTACATCCCTATGCAACGTGATAATAGCATTAGTTATACCTGCAGTATATTGTGGGTCTGAAAGTGCCAAACACTACGCTAGTCATTTGAAAAGCATTACAAGCGTCCAGACAATAACCTTGCAAATAAGACATTTCTATACCCATTTTACAGATGAAGAAATAAACATATTTGAGCTCAAAAATGAAACACATAGCAGAGAGAAAATAACCTGTTTGTTTTGTGTTATGGTTATAAAATGTTTAGCAATGATGGAAGCAATGGCACAGGTTGGTCTGTAGTCTTTGTCTGAGATATGTAGGCTTTTTGCATCATCTTGGCTATTAAAGATAATGTACAATATTATAGGTACTTGTTATATTTGCTCATTAACTATCCTCTTTAGCTTTGCAGCCAAAATTAAATTATTGGCCTAAGAGAAAATGACCTATAGCCTGATCAGTAGTTGACTTAGAACTAACTATAAGTGTGACATTGTCATTCAACTTTCAGTCTGGATAGAGAAATTAAACTGGTCGGCTTGTTTTTTTCTATAATTCTTTTATACATTGCAAGAGTCTGTCTATTCTTAGAATTAATTGAAGCAATTTTTAAAGATCCCTTTAACTTAGTTGGAAAACATCCTGTTTTTTTAGTGGAGGGCCAGTTTCTACTTCAAAACAGCCTTCATGTCACTGACAGCTGAATCATCTGTATCGTTACTTAGTTCTCGAGTGTGTACAAATATCAAATATTGTTCACCGTCGCTTTCGTCAAAAGTCCTTTCCCCTTGGAGCATTATTCCTGAGAGAATGAGGTCCCTGTGTCTTTGTGTCTATTTCAGGTTACCACACATACTTTCATGCAAAGCCCATACATCATAGACTTTTATTCTGGACACAATAGGACAGTAGTACTGGTCAAGAGATTTTCATCCTGATATGCAGGTCAAATTAAGCCACATAACACAAGTTTCCCCATCTTCCCACCCTACTTCTCTTTTTCATTCTCCCTCCTTTGTCCCAATTGTTTAGCTCCAAAAGAATGTGGCAGAAACCATGACCAGCCATTGACATATGTGTCCATCCAAAGTTAAAGTCAAATCACTTTTTGTCAGAAAGGCATTTAATCAAATTTGCATTTGCTTTTTGTTTCTTTTAAGTGGTTTTAAGCTCTTTCGCCTGCTATTGTGGGAGTTGCAAGAGTAACACTCGGAATTATAATAAAGTACATGTGTTTTTCTCTAGAGTTTCTTTTTCTTCTCTGCACTAATTTATACATGGAAACTAGTCAAACACAATAGCCCATTCCCTTCGGTCAGTCTGGCACTCTCCTCCACTATTATCTAAGTAGATCTATCTTGGATGGCGAGAAGCACCATTAGCTGTGGAATGAATGTTAAATCCCTTAGTTACAACAGATTGTACCCTGCTCCAATAAGTGTGTGAGTGTGTGTGTGTGTGTGTGTGTGTACGTACACGCAGAAGCACCTTTCTATAACTGTTTATATCTATTTCTTATCATGCTTAGATTGTCTTTAAATCAAGCTTAAATTTTTTTTACATAAATCTGCAAAACATAGTAAGGCATTTCTTTAAACATTGTTTTCTGCATGTTTTTGTGAAGTTTCTTGTCTAGACATGGTCAGCTACATTTCTGTTTTCTCAGGCTCCTGTTTTAGTGTTTCGGTCCGTTCAGGACCACTTTCTGGCCTCCGTCATTATTTTCATGTTAACCAGTTCCATCGCTTCATATAAATTGAGGGAAGTATGTCCAATAGTGGTCACTAGTGAACTGCAAAAGAATCCTGTTATGCCGGAAAAATTTCTTCTTGAAAGACTACATGGATATTGAAGACTTTTGGGAGAAAGAGAAAGAACGAATAAATGAATGTATTGTGCATTTCTTTGAGCATTAATGCACGTTGATTCCCTTTTACCAACATGTGTGAATGAACTGGAAAGTCATTCTCCAGCATACCATCCGGTAGGATGTTCTGAGACTTAAGAGCTGCACAAAGTTCATTCCTATATCCCTGTAACAAAATTAAAGTCAGGATTTGTATCATTTTAATAAGTAAAATGCGGTTACTCCCTGTATTTGTTACTGATTTTTTTAACCCAATTTATGTTGATGCATTTTGCACAGGATTTATGGTTGGATGAGATATGGTCTGAGTTTAGTTCTCCCCTTTATTATGACTTAATCAAAATATAATTTTAAACTCAAGAAAAACACAGTGTCCTGTGAAATTCTGCATTTTCTGCAGCACCTAGTAGAGTGTCTTGTATATACAGGCATCATAACTGTGAACTAAATTAAGAGAAGAAAGGACTTTCAGAGGCTATCACACAGTTCTCTAATTCTCTACGTATTTGGTGTTTCCTAACTTCATATAGAGAGTGCAGTTTCTTTGGTCAAGTGACAGCTCTGCTTTGAATTTGTCTATTTCAGGTCTAATTATTTAAGTTTCTCACATCTATTATTTAAGTTTCATTCTACCCTTCCCTCATTATGCATATTCTACTAGTTCTTGTGGTCTCATGAATAGAGTGGCCCAAAAATGACCTCTTCATAGTATGAAAACCATAGTCTTTTTCTTGAGTGAGAGCATTCTTTGAATCATCATGAATAACCTACTGGTTAAGTGTGTTGAGATAATCACAGGAAAATATATCTAAATCAAGTTTTACAGTCTTGCCATTTTTACTAATTTTCTTCATCTAGAGAGCTGGCTTCAGATTTTGTGTTTTCACCAGAATGAGACGGGTTCATGTCATTTTCTGTTTATATCATAACATTCATACCATGTGGTTGAATTTTGGCTTGATTGGCAGTACTGGCTCATGAGTGGCTTAGGACTGGCATACCAAGAGTGATGTCAGTCCTAAAGGATCGTAATTGAAATAGGCCAGCACAGCTGTGTGGGGAGCCTGCCTGCTAACTGGGGTAAGCCGATGCTATCAACCCCTTCTTTCCATGAGCTCAAAAATAAATGACTAAATTTCCCCAATTCCCGAACTTCAAGATTAAAACCTACATTGAATAAAGCTTAACTGTTTTGGTTTTCCCTCCCAGGGATTTTGCTAACTAGAGCACCCAGCCTGTAGGGCAGTTAGAAGTTTTCTGTCATAAAGATGTCCCCATGTTAGTGGTCTGCGACCAACAGTGACCTCTGGCTTT